ACGGATTGGAGTCGCCACCGATCATTTATTTAAAAATAAATGGGTTGACCGGATACCTTATAATTTACCTGATCTGCGTCTTACCAAAGATGTGTCGGATTCGGGAGTCGGTTACAGTCAAGGAAGGGTTAGCACCCTTGAACTGCCCTTTCGGTACTACATAATTTCCAGTTGTCTTAACTAAGGAAATTGTAAATTTAAATTAAAAGTTAAAATAACGATCCAAAACTTACCTTTAACTGTTTTTTGAAAACGTACTCTTACGGAATCAAGGAAAAACGTTAGAAAAATAAAGGTGACGAAAATAAATTGAAAAAAAAAAAAAAAAACTAACAACATATAAAATAAGGACAAAAAGCAAACGACATGACCAACATTGAGATAATAAAACTGAAATGAAAAAATAAAGACGAAAGAGAATAACATAAATAAAGAAACAAATGTAAATAAATAAAATACGACAAAAAAAATTAAATAACAAGAAATAAACATAAAAATAAAAGTAAAATAAATCGAGGGAAAGAAGATAAAAAAATATATATATATATATTTATATAAATATTAACTTGTAAAAAAATATACAATATATACATGCATATAGATATATATAATAAATAAATAAAATAAATAAAATACTAATAACACATATATGTAAAATAAAATAAAAAACTAATAATACTATAAAATATATAAATAAAAAATTAGAATTAAAATCCCAAAAAGGACTAAATTAAAAGAAAATCTTAATTCAGGGTCGAAATCAAAAGGAAATCGGATTTAAGAATCGGATTTGGGGACTAAAATAGAAGTTATGGAAACGGTAGGGTCAAAAGGCGCAGTTTACCCCATTTCAAAAAACACGCGGGTATAGGCTGTTGCGGGTCGGGTCACGCGGGTCTTCGTGGGCCGAGTATATAACTTAAAATTTTTAAGAAAACTTCATTTGTTCTCTCCTCATCAGCCGAACCCCCCCCCCATTTTCTTATTTCCTCTGATTTGTTCATCAAACTGATGAACATGATGAGCAACCCAGAATCCGGCCACCCTTGCTCCGCCTCGCCGCCGCCGTTGAACGGCGACGGTCGCCGTTCATCGGCGGCAAATCCAAAAAACATTTCATTTTTTTAAGAGCTTTTCCCTTCCCCACTTTGAATTTCCGAATAGTTTTTTAGGAAAACAAGCCTCCTGGTGTAGATCGAAGGTCGAAAGTTCAAAAGATCCACCCCTCTGTCATCGGCCAAAACGTTTTTCTTTGGGGTTTTCAAGCACAAAATGCAAGTAACTACGCATGCAAGTAACCAAGAACGAACAAAATAAGGTAAAAACGCTACCTTTATTTCTTTTCAAACGTTGTACAAAGATTCGGCTTGTTTCTCTATATTTGCTGTAGATTTGTGGTGTTTGTGTACAAGTCGTGTCCTCCCCATTTTCTTGATTACATGGGTATTTATACACATAATAATGCTATCTCTAGTTCCGAATTTTCAGAGGTTTGCTTGGACTAAAACACTTGTTATTTGCTATTTTGGTGTCCTAAACATCCACGATGGTGGTCTGTTGCCGAGAAGTATGGGATAGAGGCGTGTATGGCGAAGACTCGTGGGGGCTGTTGATCGAGGAATTTGGTCGTGGGACCTTTGGAAGGTTGGGGCTGCGGCGCTCAGTCAGGAGACAAAGAGAGGAGGAACTAGGGTTTCCAAACCCTAGTTCAACGGTTCAATTTGGACCCGGTTCAGACGGAAATACAAGCAGACCGGTTCAAGTGCTTCACGGGCCATTGTTGGGCCACGTGTTACTAGTCACTGCTGGGCTACCAATCTGATGTAAACATTATTGTATATAATATTAATTGGTCAAAATTTGGTGTCTTCAATTGACAGTCATGATTTGTTGCAGTAGGAGATAAATGGTTTGATATGGTAGAATGCAAGAGATGTGATAGATAAGGTAGCATTCATTGGCACAGAGTTTGTATAATTGTCTAATTCGATAACGACCACACCATGACTTAATGTGGTTATGGGCTTATACTTTGGAAGTTCAAAATTTTAATAATATTATTTTTATAAAAAAGAGTATACACTGTTTTTTTTATTTTTCTTTTAATATATTAAATTAAATTTAATAAATTTTTTAAAATTATGAATATGCAATTGTATCCTATATGACTTCGTACATCTGCCACTGAACTTGTATAACTATGGTCAATGGCGTCTACAAATGGAATGGAGAATTTAAGCAGGGATGACTGGCCGTGTATAGTGTTACAGGCTGTGAGCAAGGGTGCAAGACTCATGTGCACATAGATATTTAAAAGGTTTCTATTCGCTTGAACTTTGGTGAAAGAGAAGAATGTCACCAAAGAATATTCACACAAATATAAATAACATGTGAACATGATTCTAAAGAAAATAATGAGGAGATGATATAGTTTTCTTATATATTTAGATTGAAGTAGGTGGATTTTCATTTTTGGTTGTCGATGTAATTCGATCTACATCATTTATTGTAAGGGGAATCAAGTATAAATAGAGATCATCTTCACCTCATTTGAATTTATCATCCATTTTTTGAGTAATACAATCAAAGTATTTATTCAAAGCTCTCTTGCTCTTTTCTCTTTTTTTCGTACTCTTTTGATGTCTACTTCAATTCTTTTAAGCCTAGCTTCTTAGTACCTTTGAGAATTTATGGGTTCTTAGGTTCATTTTGTATGTTAAGTTCTATCATCTAAGATCACGAGAATCACTAGACAAAATTTTAATCTCATGACAATTGGTATTCGAGTCATGTTTGAGTAAGGTATTGATTAAGATGATTTAAGGAGAAAGTCATGCTCGGGGGGGGGGGTGGAGACTTATGTTGGGAAAATAAGGGGGCTAGCTTGAGGTTCATTGTGATGTCGTTAGAAGGGAGGGTGATCAGACTTGAGGGATCCAGACTCTTGAACTGAAGTACTGGAGGTTAACATCTATGAGCTGCACCTTTTAGGAGATGAGCTCAAAGGAGAAATGCAAGATCTCACCAACCAGATGATAAACATGATGAACTAGAGGAATGATGCTCTTGAATATGTGGTAGAGACTTTGAGAAAGGACATGGATGAGCTTAAGAGTGAGACGCTTATATGCAAAGCTGTAGAAGGTAGCAGAATGCTAGTTGGGGAACCCAAACACAACATCGATGTCCTGAGGGCATATGAGTTCAAGGGAAACTGATCGACCTAAGACGTACACAACTTTCTTTAGAAGATGGAATAATACTTGTGAGTTGCCGACATCAAGGATGCTTTTAAAATTGTAAAACTACTTTTGTTTATTTTATTGATATCGCTCTTTTGTGTTGGCATCGTATGTGCACTAATGAGAGGTGTAGTGCCACTAGTAGTGAAAGGTGGTATGAGTTCCAAGCCAAATTCAAGGAGTAGTTTTACCCCATGTATGCAGAATATGAGGCATGACTAAGTTGAGGCATCTTAAGCATCAAGGCATTGTTTGCGAGTATGTGCAAGAGTTTAATGGGTTGATATTCCAAGTTCCTAGCGTGGGTGGATGATGCCCTTTCTACTTTCTTGGATGGATTAAAACCATAGACCAAGCTAGAGTTGTAGAAAACAGGGGTTTAGAGTCTTTCTAAGGTTATAGCTGTCGTCGACTCACCGACTGAACAGGGGTTTAATCGATGAGTGCGTTAGTGGACGCTAACATCCAATCTATTAATGTTCCATGAGGTTGCTAACAAGCTTGGTCTTCTTATTGAGAAGACAAGTGGGTGGATCAAGACTTTGACCATGTGCTTGGTTTAAATTTTCTTGATGGGGTTAATGCTCTTCATTTTTCTATTACTGCTTGTGTTTACATAGTGGATCCTCTCCAACAATATGTTGTGATGGTTCATAGCACATTCCATAAGAGTGAGAAGAATCATAGAAATCTTGTCTTTGCAGTTAAGACATCTGATTTTAGAAGCTGCAGTTTGTCCTATCGGAGTCCGAATTACAGAGGCTGATCGAACCATTTCCCAATCAATTGAAATATGATAAGAAACAGCAAACTGGGCCTATTCATGATCCTTCCTTGCCTTTATGTTGAAATGCTTTTCAGATGTGAACCGTCGACTCTTCTTGTGGTGCTCCTAAGGAGCAAGTTGTGTACAGTTATTCAACAGAGTGAGGATTAGAATTTGAATTTCTAAACACCACTTTGTTCCTGTTAATCCAAATGCACCACAGGTAACGCCCATCTTCTTTTGCGTGTTTCGCTATCAGTCCTTGCTCCGTGTGACTCGGGAATAGTCTAGGATTCCACATACGCTGGTTTAGGGATAGGCATGGAAATGTATCCAACGGATTTTGATTCGATCCGGTTTTATTGGGTTAAGTTTTCTTTAAAAAAAACTGAGTTTGGGTCGAATTTTGTAGAGTATAAGTTTGGGACAGGTTGGATTCGAGTTTAGGATAATAATATTCGACCCGACCTAAATTATATGTTATATATTCAGGAATAATTGTATTAATACACATCTCTATATTATATTTTTCAATTAAGTCCCTATTTTATCTAATAAAATTAAGAATTTATATATTTTTTATCGGATCGAGTCGGATGCAGATTTTATTTCAAACCCTAACCCCGAGTCAGGTTAGGTTTCGGATGAATGGTGTGCTTTCATTGGGTCGGATGAATGGTGTGCTTTCATGAATAATTTTTTGTATTTATAATATATGTTTATTTTAATTTAATTTATAATACTATAATGTAAATATTAATTTTTTTATTAAATTATTCATGTACAAAAGGGTAAAAATAATTTTAATGAGATAAATATATATATAATCGTTAAATCTTGAATTAAAAATATAATAAATATTTTTTTTCTAAAAAGAGAGAGAGAGATGCAACTGAGGCCCTAATCTGATTTACAATTAGGGCCTATGTAAAGTTCAAAACCATTTCGCCTCAAATGTTTGGTTCTGCAACTTTTAAATGGATTTTCTTTTTAGAAGTTTTCAGGTAAACAGCGACAAAAGAGAGTTGGGAACGTAGCGACTCTCAAACCTGTGAGCAACACGATGAAGCGATTCTTCAAACCAATTGAGAAGGAAGGCTCGGCAAAGAAGCCCACGCTTTCGCCTTCAAAACAATGTGTTGAAAACGAAGATGCACAGCCTGAAGTGGACATCAAGAAAGAGCCATTGAAGTTCCTCACCTGGAACGCTAACAGTTTGCTCCTTCGAGTCAAGAACAATTGGCTCGAGTTCTCCAGTTTCGTTTCCAATCTTGACCCTGATATCATTGCTATACAGGTGATCATTGTCTCTCACTTTCTTCCACCTTCCTATCAATTTGTTGTTTTAGTTTTTGTGAGGGGGTTTGATGAAGAGTTGGTATTTTAGCTTTGGGGTTTTACTGCTTAAGTGAAACAGAGTTTATTTTTTTGCTGCGTTTGGAACTAAAGAAGGATTATTTTACATATGAGCATGCCTCGTTGTTTATGCAATTTAAAATATATGTGTGATGGCCAAAGGGTTGTTCTGCAAGAGGATTAAATGCAGTTAAATGACAACGTGATTACTGATTATGAACTGCCTATTTTTTCAATATGAAAATGAGCTTGTATTCTAGATGCAGTCTTTTTCTTGTTGCATGTGAACAAAACTATGTTCAATCCGATATTTGTGGCCGACTTATCTGATTAATTTATTTGGAAGACAGCTGTTCCCTGTTGAGTTTTAGTTAAAGATGGTAATGTTGTTTCCTCAAGGTTCATTTATATGTCCAAGATAGTTTACCTGGTTATGCTGAGATTCTTTTTCATTGCCTGGATTTTGTTTTTAATCGCATTGCTTCATACTGTATGCCGATGCTGAAATATGTTTCTGGAATTTACGTTAAGACACTATCTAATTGTCTGTTAATGGTAGGAAGTAAGGATGCCAGCTGCTGGTTCAAAAGGTGCACCTAAAATCCCGGGAGAACTAAAAGATGATACCAGCTCTTCCAGAGAAGAAAAGCAGGTAATTTTTTTCTTGTGCCACCCTCCGTGATTGATATATCTTAACTCTACTTGTTTTGTTTGTGTCTGTCCTATCACTTTTCTCTGTTTATTACCTTAGTGTGTTTTTATATTCTTGATGATCTTATGCAAACACTTTTAAATATGCTCTAAATTGACTATGTTAGAATCTTCAGTTACATTCTTTTATGGGCAGAACTATGTTTTCCTTTGCAACAAACTTAGGAGATTCTTTATCATCATTTTCATAGCTGCGTAAGTCTATTATTTTTTATACATTTTGTTTAAATCATGCAACATTATCTGTTGTTAATTTCAAAAGTTACAGTTACAGCCAGCAGCTGTAAAATCTGTGAGGATTCTATGTGATTGCGTCCTATTCTAAATTATAGGTCTTACTGTTATACGTACATGTGAGCTTGCATGAAAAGTATTGTATAATGCCTTCATCTTTTTGTCCCTAATGAGCTATTATATTGTATTTGGTTAGGCTACAGTAAAGAATTTTTATATATATATTTATTATTATTTTTTTGGTGGGTTGGTTTTGTTAAAATGAAGGGCCAAAGTAGCCCATTAAAGAACAGTTTCATATTAGAGTAATGCATGTTTATTTCCCATCTACTCAGATTATTTCAAACCATGCAGATATTGATGCGTGCTCTTTCTAGTCCACCATTTGGAAGTTATCGTGTTTGGTGGTCTTTGTCAGATACAAAATATGCAGGCACTGCATTGTTAGTAAAGAAATGTCTTCGACCATTAAAAGTTTATTTTTCTCTTGATAGAACAGGTATTTTTGTTTACGAGCATCCATTCTTCAAATTTCTTGTGAGGAAAAAAATTTCAGTTTTATCTTTCTCTTCATATTTAGTCTGCATGTTTGTGTGTGGGTATGAATATATGCCTGCACATAAGAGAAAAGAATGTGCACCATTTTTAATTGTCCTAGTGACTGTAAATTGGAACATTGTCTTTTAGCCATCTAATAAGAGATATTTCCTTTCTTATGTTCTTCCATGTTTGTTTCAATATTATATGTTTACCAAATTCTTTGCTAGTTTCAAAGCATGAACCAGATGGCCGGGTTATTTTAGCTGAATTTGAGACACTCCGTGTATTGAATACTTATGCACCAAACAATGGTTGGAAAGAGGAGGAAAATTCGTTTCAGCGGAGAAGAAAGTGGGATAAAAGGATTCTAGAGTTTGTAGTTCAATCATCAGATAAACCTCTTATTTGGTGTGGCGATCTGAATGTTAGGTGAGTTCTTCGAGTTGTATAAGGGTGGGTGGACTTACAGAGCTTGTTAGGTTCATAGAATACATCACCTTCAGGAATTAACGTTGCTCTTATAAAGTTCCGTTGCTTGTGTAGCCATGAGGATATCGATGTGAGTCATCCAGAATTCTTCAGTGCAGCAAAGATGAATGGTTATGTTCCTCCAAATAAAGAGGTTATCAGCTTCATCTGTCTTTTGTTTTCACCGAGGATTAAATTTGATTTGGACCATTTCTAGATATTACCATGATCTTTTTTTGGTTCACGTTACATGCTTATTTATTATAAACTTAACCGTCAATTCCAATATCGATGCCAAAACTAGAATACAAATTGCAGAAATCCGTGGGGCAGTTAGATCACCAGGAACAAACAGATCATCTTATTCTTAGGTTGTCTGCCAAGTGATATTGGATCTAGTTTAGAAATTGATTGGTTGGGATTACTATAGAAATGAAAATTGCTGGTTGGAATATCACTTAATTTTGCATATGCAGGCCTTGTGATGAAGAATGCATGTTGAACTTTATATCTTTAACGTTGAATTCATTAGGCTGTCATAGTTCCCTTAAGATTCAGATATGGACTAGTTCAATGTAGTGTACTCTATATCCAAGAATAACTGACACGATAGTTCATGATTATGTGCAGGATTGTGGGCAGCCGGGATTTACCTTATCTGAGAGGAAGCGCTTTGGGGCAATATTAAAAGAGTGTGTCATCTCTTCAGAGAGCCCTTTCTTCTATGGTTTCCAAACTTTCCATAAGCCGTTAACATGTTGAAAGTTGAAACCATGATGTGTACAATAATATTATCTCCACACAAGCGTTTAATATATAAGTTGAAATTGAAAAGTTTTACCCAATACTTTCACTTACCTTTATGTAATGAGATATTATCTTCTTTTTTATTTTCATTTCAATCTACTTCAAATAAATTTGTGGATTATGCTTTAGGGGAAGGTTAGTAGATGCATATAGATACCTGCACAAGGAAAAGGACATGGAGTGTGGATTTTCATGGTCGGGAAACCCTGTTGGGAAGTAAGTAATTTCTATGCCTACCCACGTATCTTTGATTATAGTATTTTTCTTGTGGTTATCGTTCTTATTATTATTAACATTATTCAGAGGTTTTGGGGAAATTAACTTTTTGGATGATGGAGTTTATGATTCTATTTAAAGCATTAACCTATCAATTTTTTGTAGAGAGTTTACTAATCTTAGGTTGGGATGTAATGTTGGTGGTTTTATTGCAGGTATCGAGGAAAACGAATGAGAATTGACTATTTCATTGTTTCAGATAAGCTCAAGGAGAGGGTGACCTCATGTGAAATGCATGGGAAAGGGATTGAACTAGAAGGTACCGTATTGTTCGGGGGTTTTTTTTTCCTGCACTTTTTGGTGAAGATAAAAGTATAAGTTAGTATTAGCCATTTTCAATTAGTTCAAGTTGCTTAATTGCTTGTGTAGGTCAAGTGGCAAGCATATGGTCACATTTGCCCAATATCTTTAGGTAGTTTGCAGTGAACATTCAATTCCATTATTCCATTATCATTTATGTAGATCTGTTGGTCTTATTTTTCAAATGCACAAGGATACCATACATGTCAGATGAAGGAAAACTGAAGCATTTAAATTTTGATCTCGCTTGTAGAAAAAACAACTGTGAAAATAATAATAATAACTCTGAACTTTAATTCTTCATCTAGATAAAACTATATACTTTTACTATATCTGAATCAGCTCCTAACTTTTAATTTGTATTTCAATGTCTTTGTACCCTTTAACTTGTACTTAGTTAAGCCCTGAGCTTTAAATTTATATGGGTATAATAGAAGCATAGGTTATGTTATTCTGACTCTTCATTTTTCTTCATGTATCCTTGCTCCCCATACACGTCAATCCAACACGTATCCAGACATGGGTATCATAATATTCAAGGAACCTCCAAATATGTAGAAAAAGTTTTTAAAATTTGAACAAACCCGCGTTGGGCATATACCAATGTCTAATACTTATTTAAGAAAAGTGAAACAGTTCAGGGATTTTTAATATTTTAGCCAAAAAACAATTTGTTGGAACTTCAGTATATTATTTAAATGCCTTATTTTAATGTGGTTTGCTTTGTGTTTAGTACATAAGTCATCCTATTTCCTGCATTGATCTTCAAATTTTGCAGGTTTCTATGGGAGTGACCATTGCCCAGTTTCTCTCCAACTTTCAGAAGAGTGCAAAGAAGCAAATTGACACCACATGGTGATTATGTAATGATATTAGTTATAACATTTAACGGTGCTTGTTGAATCCTAAGTAGTGTCTGATAGTGTTTTCTAGTCATTGTAATATTCACTGTTACTCCTTAGCTTCTTGCCAACATGTCTGGATTGATTCATTTTGGATTTGGATTATATTATGTTTGAATCCTTTTGAGTTTGGATCTTTTCAATTTAGTGTTTTCCCAGGTTTTGATCGCTTTAAATTTAAGTAATATTTTGTTGGAGCCTTTTAAGTTTAGATTAATTTAAAGAAGCTAAGAGATTCTGATCCGATGCGGTCCGAAATGGTAGGAGAGATGAAAAAATTATTATTTTAAAAAATAAACCTTAATATGTATTTTATTTAATGTTACAATTTATATTGTAAATATACTATTGTAGAATTTTATAATTTATAGTATAATTAATAAATTTATATTTTTTTCTTTCTTATTCATTAAACTTTTGCTTTTATAACATAAAATCTAAATGGTGTTTGTATAATTAATATATTTTAAATGATATTATAATCAATGTTAAAATTTTATTAATCATAATTTAATCTAATTATTTTTATTAATATCATAATAAATTTTTAGTTTGATGTCATGGTTAGGAGCTGGAACAAAATGTTAAGGTCTTCAGTTCACTTCCCATTTTTTCTTAATTTTTCATCCATAAGATGATTACATGTACTATCATCTTATTGGAGGGTATTAATTTATTTAGAAAAATAATATATGAAGATATCACATCCGTTGTTGTTAATGATAATGATCAAAGTACAAATAAATTAAAAGTTCAACGATTATAGTATAAATTTTAGAAGTTTAGTGATTAAAACACAAATATCTTAAAAATTCGGTGACCCACAAGTGTAATTTAACATTTTAATAATTGAAAAAATGTGTATTTTAATGTGTGAAAAAAGTGTTTTTTAATAGAAAAAAGTAATTATAACATTTTTTTTAAAAAAAAATGTACTATAAATATTGTTGTTCGAATTTAAAATTCCTAAAAAAATAAACATTCCTTTTTTATTACCGAAATATATTAATGATTAAAAATATATAACGAGTTAGAACGTACTTTTGAACCTTGGATGAATGTGAACGTTGGCGCCGACCGTTACCCTGTAGTGTCGTGTACTTTTGTGGTAGATGGAAATGGAATGGCATAGGACCGACATCGTTTTGATAGCTGCATGGTTTGTTGCCGTGGATAATGGCTACAGATTGTAAAATTATTTTACATCTCATGCTTTGTATTAATTAAATTTTAATGCAATCCACCAAGAATTAAATTTGCATTGTGTTAAGATTATATTAAACAACACAGCTTTTTCTTCCCCCGCTAACACATTAATAGAAAAGACTTGCTCCGGCCTCCTGCTGCACTAACCTTTTCGACCACGATTATCACTATATACTTTGTCTATATCATCCTCCTAGTCATATGTCTTTATAATTGTCGTTGATTGATCGTCGAAATCACGTGGGATAACGATTTTCATTGTATGGTTCGCATGATACAAAACGTCAATTGATCGTCAATCGATCGCGATTTCATCGGAGTATTGATTGTCGGGTTTAGGTGAGGTCGGGTAAAGCTTTGTCAACGGTAAAGGCCGGCGGTCGTCGTAGATTTAGATGTTGAAATTAAGGTTTTCAAAGTTTGTGTGTCTACGCTTTTTAAAAAATATATACTTTTAAATTTAAATTTTAAATAAAATTTTAAATTTATATTAAATTAAATTAGCTGATCCTTATTCTCATATGTAATGGGATAAGGGGAGGTAAGATAGTAGGCTGCCCCCAACGTCAGGTTGAGAGCAGCTTCCTTGGGAGACCTCCAAATTATGAAATACGTACCCTCCGTGAAACTCGATCGCACAACCTTAAGGTTAAGAACCTCGTGCTCTACTAACTGAGCTGGATGATCATTTCTTTAAATAAAATTTTAAAACTATCAAATTAAAACACGTGTCACTTAATGAAAAAAATTAAGAACGTTTATAGTCCAAACGCCTAAAATAATAACGCTTCTAACATTAAGTAGCATAATCATTCAAAAAATACCGTAAACACCTATCCGAACCTTATAATTTAGACACTTATTTTATAATTAAACCTTTATAATTCATTTAACGAACCAAAAGGTGAAAATACTATAAGTTTGGTAGGACAAGTCACCGAAGAAACAGGTGATTTGTTTAATTCACGCATTTAATGCCCTCAACTGATCTTATTGCAACTACTTCTACAACCTCTTTAACATTTTCACCAGTAAAATTCAGTGCTCTTTATAATATCATTACTAAAAAAATATTAGTTTCGAGAATGACCTAGAAACTTACTTAAGCTTGCTTTTCACATTTTAGTAAATTAAAATGTTACTGTCGGGTAGATAAAAATATATATCATTAAATTCATTTTAATGAATGACTATTGATAAATTTACATATATTATTTTGACATTATATAAAAATATAAGAAAATAATAATAATAGTATCACAATAATATTATTTAAAACAATAATAATCTTCAAATATAAAGTATAAAATCAACATAAGAATAAATTAATATTATAATTTAAAATGATTAAAATAAATGTAGTTAACATATTTTAATAAATAATGTCATAATATAAATCTATCATTAAATACAAAACTCAAAACTAACTGAATTATACAGCATGATTGTCACAGTAAATGTACGGGCCCGACCACCTTACCTTGCGATGCCATTAAATAAACTTTGTCAATATGTGTATATATATGTTGAAGTCCTATAGGACATTGAATAAGCTTGTAAAGCATGGCTACCCTATTTCCCACACATTCTTCTTTACAAAACATGCTCATTACATTCACCATAATCTTCCTCGCATCATCTCTTTTGCCTTCATCATCTGCAACACCCTATAAGAAGATCTACGCCTTCGGCGACTCCTTCACCGACACCGGCAACACCGAGTCCGACACCGGTCCCAATGGCTTCGTCCACGTTTCCAACCCGCCATACGGAACAACCTTCTTTCACCGCCCGACCAACCGTTACTGCGACGGTCGACTCGTCATCGACTTCGTGGCTGAGTCACTGTCGTTGCCGTTCTTGCCGCCGTATCGTAACAAAAAAGCCAACAAAACTCACGGGGTTAACTTCGCCGTAGCTGGTTCGACGGCGATAAACCATGAATTCTTTGTTAGGAACAATCTTTCACTCGATATCACTCGCGAGTCGATCGAAACTCAAATGATTTGGTTTAACAGGTATTTGGGGAGTCAAGGTTGTAGAGATTCGGAACCTGGGTCCGATCAGTGCAGAGAAGTGTTCGATGATGCTTTGTTTTGGGTTGGTGAAATCGGCGTCAATGATTATGCATATACCCTTGGATCCACCGTGTCGGGAGATACCATTCGAAGGCTTGCTATTAATAGTTTCACTGAGTTTTTGCAGACATTGTTGAAGAAAGGAGCAAAATATGTCGTCGTTGAAGGACTGCCGACAACCGGTTGTTTACCATTGGCGATGACGTTAGCTCCTTCCGATGACAGAGACGACATAGGGTGCGTGAAAAGCGTGAACAACCAAACGAACGCCCATAATCTTGTCCTCCAATCCAAGTTGTCGGAACTCAGACAACAGTTTCCCCAAGCAGTCATCGTTTACGCCGATTACTGGAACGCATACCGGACGGTGATGAAAAACCCGGCGAGTTACGGGATCAAAGAGAGCTTCAAAGCGTGTTGCGGAACCGGGGGAGAGCCCTACAATTTCGATGTTTTCAACACCTGCGGCAGCCCTTCAGTTACGGCTTGTTCCGACCCTTATGAATATATCAACTGGGACGGAGTCCATCTCACCGAAGCGATGTATAAGGTCGTTGCGGACATGTTTATCGACGGAAATCTCAGTAACCCACCGTTCAAAACCTTGTTGGAAAGAAAGCTGCGGAAGCCATGAATACGGGCTTTGAAAACTCTATTTTGTCTCTTGAATTGGTTTACTTGCTTCAGATAAGTGCTAGAGTCGTTCCCAATGGTTGTATTGAATTCGAGCTTTGATTTGCTTTGGTGTTCTATTTTTCAATGCGTATCTTTTGGATTGCTTATTTTAAAACGATTGATTATTTACGCCAATTCAATTCAATTTAAATAAAACACGTCAATATAATTATTTCAAAAAATTGTGTCCGAATTGGGTAAAAGTGTTTGAATAATGCAATGGAAAAAAAAATTCACATACTGCAGTCGAACAATTATTTGCTTAAATAAGGTGATTGCCATAGTGACAACCATAGGTCTCCTAAGCACATGGCGACCTCTATAGATCTCCAGGAGCACACGACTACCTATGCAGCATTTGGCGACCTATGGAGCTGCAATAGCGAGGGAAGAGTTATTGCAATAGAGGAGGCTTTGTCGCAAAGAGCACTTGACGACCTATGAAACACTTGGTGACTAATGAGATCACGGTAACAAACACCACAGTTCAAGAAATAATTTGGGTAGAGCCTTATATGGAGAAATTTTTTTCCAACGCTCTACATGGGCGACGAAGCCGTCCGAATTGTATATTCAATACTTTTACTCTGAATTTTTTTTGTTTAAATTATATATATAATTTTTAAATATTTAAATGTTTTGTGTTTATATAGTTGTCTAACGTTACATTTCACCACTATTTTAAAGTTGACTTGCCAACTTCTATAAAATAGTATTTAAATCATTTTCTTAAAAAAACCGTAAATCTCTAAATTCTCGAAAACCCATAAATCCTTAAATCTCATTCTACCACCATCGTCCTTCCTACTATGGGTACAAATCAAAGGTCGATCGATGATTCAAATATATAATTTAAACATTTACTTTTAAATTATTTTTTTCTTAAATATTTGTATGATCTAACATGTACATAGATAAACTTAAAAAGAATTTGAAAGGATGTGCATGTCCACGTTCTGGTCATTGAATGGTAAGTTCAAGCTCTCTTAACTTTGATATTTATGTAGTTTAATTTATAAGAAAATGAAGTTATCATTTAGGATTTATCTCTCTCAGAGGCAGGTTGGATCAAAGAGCTAAATTATTTTAATTTCCTATTAGTTTTAATTCCAATTTAGTGGGAGATAAAGAGAAAGAAGTGAGGTTGTTGATGGCCTTTTTGAGATATTGTTAAAGGTTTCATAATCTCATTTATAAATTATAATTGAAAATTTTCAAAACATTAAAACCAATTTCCTCCTCCATTTTAAGCTTTATATAATTCTTATCAACATTATGAGCACACTGTATAATGTATTTCCTGTTGATAGCTGTCATTGCTATAGCTAACTCTTGATATGCATGTGAATGACCTATCAAAAATTTGGAAGAGGAGTTATTTACCTCATGTCTTGTGTTATCAATAAAATAAGATACAGCGATGCTTCAATATGAGTAATTTTCGTGCAAGTCATGCCTTCCTCTTCTAACTTTTAGGGGATTCTACTTCTGATAAATATTAGGAACTTAAGTCAAAATTCCATGATTTGAATTCAAAGAGACAGAATGTGAACTAACATTCAGGTTCTGTTGAAATCTGAAGTACTTGATATTCTCTAAAACTATGTTTTACTGTGCTAGTACTGATATGTCAGGCATTAACTTAATCCGTACTACTTTCTTCACTTCTTTTCCGACAATTAACTTTAACATTCTAATATGTTGCTTAAAATTATTACCCCCTTACGTTCAAGGCTGACTATTGACTCCCCACGAAATATTTGTCTATAGGTATTATAATGATCTGCACATCTTTGACCTAGATGAGTTCAAGGTGAACATTTTCCTGTCTTTTGTTGATTTAATTTATCATGTGTTACATGCTAAGTTTCATTCAGTTTTTGAACTAAAGACGTGCTTATGGAATGTAGTGGCAAGAAATAAAGCCTAAGCTTGGATCCATGTGGCCTAGTGCTCGGAGTGGTTTTCAGTTTTTCGTGTACCAAGATCAGGTGAGTTGGCCAAAAAAGGCACCTGAATAGGCATCATGAAACTATTTGAATTCTTAAAATCTAAACTGGTGCTCTGATTAGTGCTTGAAATTTGTTAACTAGCTTAACAATGGATTTTGCCTTGTAATCTTCTCATCAGTTCTAAACAGGAGCATTTTGTACGGAACTGATTTATATATTAATTCCTTCAAAATATAATTTTCAGATTTATTTATATGGTGGGTACTACAAAGAAGTGTCTTCTGCTAAGAGCAGCAGCTCGGAGAAAGGAATTGTTCGTGCAGACATGTGGTCTCTTGATCCTAGGACTTGGGAGTGGAACAAGGTTTGTAGGACTTTTCCCCCCTCCTATCAGCATGGATAAATGGTGATAAAATGAAAGCATATTGTTCCCTACATTTGACTGGATTCTAGTTCTGTGTAACCTCATACATCTTTGACTTTTCACTTTCAAACAATTAGCTGCTTGTGTACGTAAGTAGAATAAAGTGTCATCATAACTGGGTTTGAAATCTTACTTATTAATGTTATCCACTGTTTAAAGGAATTGCTTTAATTGATTTCATAGAAACTATTGCATCCGACATCTTGGCATCTCATTCTTACCTATTTCTTCTTTTTGAAAATCAGATTAAGAAATAATTTTATAAAGAATGTATGTTTAATTAGTATGAGATATGTTTTCCCTTAATATTTCAGCTCAAGTAGAATAATTATTCTATGCAGTATTAATCAGACATCTGTTGCCTTGGAACAGGTGCTTGTGCAGATTATTATAAATACTTTGTTTTAGATTCTTATGACTTTTAGCAGCGAACAGATTTTTGTTGATATGGACAATCGTCTTTTGTAACATTTACTTTCTATTTAAGTGTGTTCTTAATTTGGAAGTCCTATCTGTAATTTCCATTACTCTTGGCATGCTTGTTTGTACTTGATAAAACTTCCTGTCTTATTAAAAAAAGTGGGATGCCACCTAGTGCTCGTGCTGGGTTTTCCATGTGTGTTCATAAGAAGCGTGCTATGTTTTTTGGGGGTGTCGTAGATATGGAAATGCAAGGTAACTTTCCCTTCATCTCTCTGATCTTCTGCAACATAAACAACTACACCTTAATTGCAATTAAACAATGTTATTTTTGAGGTTCCAATGGTGTTCACTTCACCGACCGGAATTAATGGTCTGTTAAATGATGATTCTGCGTTACTTGTCATCTTTGTTTTTGACTAAATTTATATTTGCAGGTGATGTAATGACGAGCTTGTTCTTGAATGAACTCTATGGCTTCCAACTAGATAACCACTGATGGTAAGCCTGGTCTATTCAACAACTTAGAATCTTTAATTCATACCCATTCTATTGGGTAGATTTTCTAGTCATACTGATTTTCTGACACTTTAAAACTGTTATGGATTAATGAGCTGATAATTTATCCAAAGTTCACTGTCTGTGGGCTTGATAAATAATTGTGAACAAAACAACTTTATTTTTTAAGGAGTAATCACAGTCCCCTTTTTTGGGTTTACCTTGTGTCAATCTGTATCACTCTCATTTTAGTTTAACTTTTGAAATTGGCTGTCGATTGATATTGCTGGTTTTTTCACTGAATGAGAATGTTCTTATTAGGTACCCTTTGGAGCTACGGAAGGAAAAGTCAACTAAGGTCAAGGTATTGTGATAAATAAGGCTGTAAGTATTGGATCTATCTACTGGTTATGCTGTCGTCCCTCATACTTTTTCCTACCGTGGCCTTTCTTTATGTTGACCATTCAATTATAATTATATTCATTTGTGATGGCTTTTATTTTAATAATACAACTTGCTTTTCAATTGGTGTTACACAGTCAAAAAAGGATTCAAAAAAGAACCACCAGGATCTGTTTATAATTACAAGCTAAATGCAATTGAAGAAGAGACGAGTGGCATGGATGATAAAGACCAGATTCCGGAGTGCGACGGAGAAGCAGGTGATGAGGGAAGCAACATTGATGAAATGTCTGAGAACATGGTTGAAAACATGACAATTGATGATGATAGGTCAATTAAATCTGCTTCAATGCCCCAACAATCTAAATCTAAAACTATATTTAGTTATCAAGATTCCGTTTCACCTGAGGTTTGTCATACTGCATTCAAATGATTGTTCATCTGTTTTAAACATGCCTAACTTATTAATATGTGGATCTGCCATCAATTTTCAGGTTGTAAAGCCCTGTGGACGGATAAATGCCTGCATGGTTGTTGGTAAAGATACTATACGGGGGCATGATGGAGGTTAAAGATCAAGAAATTACGCTTGATGATTTGTATTCACTTAGTCTTAGTAAACTTGGTGAATGGAAGTGCATTATTCCGGTTTGTTGAATTCTCTTCTCTACTTTCAGTGTTCATTTATTCATTATTACCTATTAAAACAATGGGCTGTATAAAATTATCATTATCTTATCATACATCCCAATATTGTGACAACTTTGTTGATATATGTTCAAATAGGATGAGATCTTGTTAAGAATACAGAAGAATGCTATTTTAACTAGTTTTCTCCTCTCTATAACCCCTTCTTTGGGACCCTTCTAGATTTATATACTGAAAGTTGAATCTTTAAAGTATAAGTAAATCTATTTCTTTACTAAGTTTTATTAGCGAGTTCTTGTTTAAGTAGTAAATGCTGTTTTGCTATTAAACGAGCATGTCTGCTTTACTTTCAACTTCCTTATCACTGACAATTCGCAGGCATCTGAAAGTGAATGGGTAGAAACCTCAGAGGATGAAGATGATGAAGACGAAGATGATAGTGAAGATGAAGGTGAGAGTGGTAACGAGGGTGAGGAGATTGATGATGATGATGAGGCAGAGGTGATTATGTCATTGTTTAAGCCACAATACTTTGGTTAATTGCAACTTTTGTTGTTTCATCCTCAGGAAGATTATGTTGTAGATGTCTTCTCCATTCGGAGTTCATTATTTATTTTCTTATTCT